CTCTCTCTCTCTCTCTCTCTCTCTCTCTCTCTCTCTCTCTATCTATCTATCTATCTATCTATCTATGCAGATAGAGATTTTACTCAAGTGCCAATTCCTTCCTCTTCTAGCTCTCTGAAGATGTTAGATAAAATTGGATCAAATCCCACCCACTATTCACCCCAGCTGGCTGCATTATTATTCAGGGTGGCTGTTGGAGTTCTCTAGCCAAAGTTCAGCCCCCTCATGGAACTCATTGCCAAGCCTATCAATGCTACTTGGGTGAGTATAACAGTGTCACAAAGAGACTTACAAGGGATCAGTGTGGTTTGAAGTGTGCTAACAATCCTCTCATCACTAAGTAAGGGTCCTCTTACAAAGACCATGATGTTAGCTCGACACAGCTGTCTACAGCAAGGGGTGCGCCAAACCTACTGCTGTTCACGATGCAAACCCAGGATTTTATGACTTTTTATTGCAATTTATCACCATATTAAGCATAAATGGCAACTTAGTCAAAGAGAATTTCCATATTGTTTGTAGTCAGCACTTTGATTCTATTCCTTCCTGTTCAATATCACCTAATTCTTTAAGATATTTCATAAGGAATTCCAAGTTATTTATTTGATAATTCAATCCCCTTGCGGTACTAAAATGTAATTCAATGGAACTTGTAATGCCTAAGTTGCTATTTTCTTTCAGTGAATCCATTAACAAAACCTCTATTTCAAAGGCTTGGCTTGAAGGAATTAGAGCTGGAAGGACATTAATGATCATAGGATCATACATCTAGAGCTGTAAAGGACCTAAAAGGGATCTAATTCAACCCTCTCCTCTTACAGATGAGGAAACTGAGACCAAGAAAGGGGAAATGACTTATCTGAAGTTTGCATGAATTCATCTTCACTTCAAAACTAATTTCTGGTAGTTCTGTGGACTAGCCTCTGGAAAGCCGTTCCATCCTAGACATCCTTTTATTTTTCAGGTTCCTATGACCACAGTATATCTGCTTTGGTTGCATATGAAATCAGCCCTGCAGCTTTGATGTACTATAC